GACATGCCCTGCGGTCACTCCTGGGTCATCTGTGTCTTCTGGGGCCAGATTGAAAGCTACAAATTGTGCCCTTGTCCAAGAGTCAAAGGACAGCTCAAGTCTAGTTTACCCTCAGAACTACGTGGGGATCCTCAACGGATGCACTTCATCAATCCTAAAAACATAGCCTTATTTTTCATATCAGGAGTCTGAAAGGAACCCCCTCAAAACACAAGCAAGCAAGCAAACAAAAATGGTTTGCTTCAAGGGAATTACTGATAAACTAATCTCAGTTCCCCTTATCCTCACCTTCCTGAAGCTCTTCTCTGGTACCGATAAGAGGAAACCTCTCTGTTTTGCCTGACGGCAAAGAATGAGCGAGGTCTATGTTCAGGAGAAGCTATCCATCTTTCTCCACTCCTTTACTTTTGCTTAAAGGAGCTTTCTCCAGGTTGGCTTTCCTCGGTGGGGTGTCCTTGGGATGTGTGCTGGATTGCCAGATCCCATGATGCCCAGCCAGGGTGGCTGGGAGTTCCTGAGGGTGGATGGCCGACGTACTGGGAGATCAGCACCCCAGGGAAAGTGGACACAAATGTTCTGCAGAGGTTCTCTTGCATCAGGGCTTCTCAGTCCCAAGCCTGCCTCCTGCATCTGGGCTTCCTTTTTTTCACCAGACGACTCCACGTACTTGGAGAGCGAAGAGGAACGCATTGAATATGTGTTGACTCAACAAGGCCTGATCTACCAAGGCTCGAAGGACTACATCTATTCCATCCCGTGGAACTTTGGGCAGGTGAGCTGCTCTCTTGTCCTGCTATTGGTGGGACCGCCTCTCCCGCACGGTATCTGCCTGTCCCACCAGGTCAGACAGGGCGGACGCACCCCAGGTCCCTTCCCTTAAATGTGGCCATCTGGTGGGACCATGGGGGTGACCCTTCGGCCCCGATCCTTTGGAGCAGCCTCCCCCTGAGATTTGGAGGGCCCCCACCCTATTAGCCTTCCAGAGGGCCACGAAGACCTGGCTTTTCATCCAGGGACTGGGCTAGGATGGAAGGGAGCCCACAAAGGCACATGCAAATGTATAGTGGACAGGATGTTGTGGCACTGTGATGGGTTATGTGATGTTGTTGTGGGGGTTTCTGGGTTTTATTTGTTCTGATTTTATGAACGTTGCTGTGAGCCACCTGGGATTATTGTGTAGAAGATAGGCGGCCATATAGGTTTTCTAAATAAATAGATAAATATTCTAGGCATGGCCGAGGACCACTTGCGCACCTTCTCGCCCTTCTTGAAGGTTGACTGTTTCACTGTGGCTTCGTTCAGCTGAGGAGAGAAAGTTCTTTGGGGGGAGAGAAATGGAAAGGGTGCCGGTCTATCCCCCCACAGCCCGTGGCGAGGAGCATTTTGAGTGGTTGCAATTTCCAAACGGTGGCACCATAAAAAAAATATTTTTTTCCTTTGCTGCTTGTAACTGAATATGGAACAATGCAGAGCAGAAAAGGCCTCTCTGCGACCCAGATGCCCTTCCCAGTGGCTCCTTTCATCCAGGAGGCACAGAGTTAAGGCTCCCTCAATGAAAGGTCATTCAACGAAACAGGCTGGCTAAAAATATGAAGCCACCACCTCATACTGCATCAGGCAATCCTATTTTTAAACATGAACGACTAGGAAAATCCTTTAAAAAATATTTGGATTTCTTTTTTTGATGCATTCAGTGGCATCTTGTTGAAACCAGCCAATCCGTTGGGGGATTTCGCCGCCTGGCAAAGCTCCCTCCCGCTTTGCACAAATGCTCTGCGTTGACACTTCCCAGTGAACCTGAGCATCGGCTGGGAGCCGAACACCCTTTGGACCCAGGCTTCGCGCTGCTCCAGGGGAGGGCTAACCCTGTCTTTAAAAGCAGCCAAAGGAGAGCGGATGGGCAAGGGGAAGGGGGTAGCGCCATCAAGCGCTGAACGAGAGATCTCGCCAGCTTCCCTGGGCAACTCTGCTTAGATGGTTTTTGGGGTGATCCAGGTCTTCAAACCAGGGATCAGCTTGGAGACCTGGCAGGTGCCGGGGGGGGGGGGGCTTGCTTTGAAAAGACCAAGCTCTCCTCGTGTCCAAAGCACAGTGGCCCTGGAGGGTAGTGCCCAGGTATTGCCCAGAGACTAGAGGGAGGGGTCATGCCCACCACTGCCTACAGTGGTAGATACAGCAGAAAAAAGAGGTTGTTAGGACGTGTCTGTAACATTTATTATTATCCTGTTTTATTCCTTTTAATATTGTTTACTTGTGAACTGCCCAGAGTTGTTGGCGGTGGATAGTATACAAATTTAATTAATTGTTGTTGTTGTTTGATGCAAACGGGAAGAGTGTTAGATACCGAACTCTGGGAATGAATGCAAGGCCGTAAAACAGGGTTTCTCTACCTTGGGAACTTTAAGATGTGTGGACTTCAACTCCCAGAATTCATGGCTGGCTGGGGAATTCTGGGAGTTGAAGTCCACACATCTTAGTTCCCAAGGTAGAGAAACACTGCCATAAAGGCTTCATGGCTAGGGATTCCTACTGATAGAAGGCAAAGAATAGCAGTTGAATCAAGGGTGTCCACTGGGTATGGTCAAAGAAGTCAAGATGGGGGCCAGGGCGATCCAAGCTCCATTGATGTCACATGCAATTCACATTAAAAAAGCAGGTGGAACTTTGCACCATCGTGACCACCATCTTGACTTTTTTGACCACACCCTGCAGACATTCCCGATTTGAATCATGCCTAGAATGCCCCCTTAGCTCAGGAACTGCCGCCTTGGCATGGCAGCCACTTCATCTTCTCCTCTGCTCGTTCCCGGAGATACGAATTCTGCCCTAACAGACCTCTCTCCCCATCTGCCCATCCATCTTTCCTAAAAGCTTGCCAGGCCCTCTGACTGGCAAATGAAGTGCCTGCTGTGGCACCCTGGTTCGAGCATGGCCCAGGCTGGCCCTTTCTGGAGCAGTTCCTGGTGAGCGTCCAGCTCCCGACTCCTGAAGCTGCCAGCCCCCTCTCACGGCCTGGACCCCCAGCCGAGCACATCCCGGCAGCCCCCGCCTCGGCCTGGCCCACTGCTGCGGTGGGAGGGATGCTGGGAGAGTTTTATTATACATCTCACAAGGAAAAAAGAAAAATGACCTTCCCTCTCTCAAAGCTTTGTGGAATGTGTCCAAGTCTTCGGGGACTTGGTGGAAAAAGGTGTTCCACAAAGGGAAGAAAGGTCAGGAAGGGGAATTTTGGACAGGAGTCACCTAAACGAAAACACCATTTTCTTGATAAAACCCTCCCAACGTTTTATTGTTTTACAACCACACACTGAACTACAGAACATTTTTTTTTTCCGATAGCCCAGGGCCACTGATTTCAAGGTAGCAGCTACTCAGATTTCAGTCTTCTGCTGGAGCAAAAGCAGAACTTTCCCCACTTGTAGCTTACCTCGGCAACAAACACCTGCTCAGGTTCGGTGGGCCTGACCCCACAGTCAAACCTTAACTTGTTCCCAGCCCATATTTTAAATGCCTCTAAATTGATCCTTCAAGTTCTGGAAAACTACCAGTTTTTCCTGCTTAATCCGGTCCAGAGTCAGAGGATGTAAAGTTTATTCCACTTCGTCCTTTCTGGTAGTTTCCCTGGAGGAAGCTATCCCTGTATGGGGGGGAGGGGGGGTGCAGGGGAGGAAATGCATGCCCTTGGTTATTCATTAGCCAGTCAGCATCTTCAAAACCTCCCCCCTCCCCAAATACGGTTTGCTATCCCTCCAGACCAGGGCCAGACTCAGGACTGGCTGTTACAAGATGTTCTGTTCTACAGAAAGGACTGATTTCCAGTGACATTCCTCGTGAAAAAAGGTACATAAAGTAAAAAGCATTTCTGCACCCTTGCCAAGGTTTGGAGAAGGGAAAGCAAGAACAGATTCATAACAAGGGCTTATTGCAAATCTGATGTTTTTATGCTGTTTGCAGCAGGAAGTTGAGAATGTTCTTTGAGATGTTTGGCTCCTTGTCCTGATTTCTTGGTACTGTTGGTGAATGTAAGATACATTTTCAAAAACCCACATATAATTCACATATAAGTCACCCTGCTGAATTCCATCCCGAGCTCACAGAAAAGCTTTGAAAGGGCCTTTCATGGCCAGAGATAATCCTACAAAGGAAGCTTTGCCATTTATTTATTTTTTCATTAACTCTGGTGACCTCATTTGGGGAAGTGAAAACGCTGCGCAAAAGAGGAGGAGGTGGCAGTCTGGGTTTGCAGAGGCAGGATGAACCTTGAATCATCAGGAAACTGGGTGTGAAAGCCCTGAACCCAGGCAGAGGGCAGAAAAAATTCCACCAGGCTGAAGCGCACTCAGATCTCCCCCACAAAGCCTACGCAGATGTCTGTGTTTCCCAAAGGATGAGTCTGTCCTGGAGATACCCAAGTCTGGTGGTGGCGGTGGGAAATCGACTCTTTTGTGGGGAAAACAGATGCTGGAGGCCATCTAGGCTGAACCCACGTCATGAGAGCAGCGCACAATTTGCAGCAAGCCCAAGGCATCCCGTGGATCACCAGGCATCCATTCCCAGCCAGCATCACCAAAGAGCACCAGGTTGGAGAAGGCTGCCGCAGAGGGTGGCATGGCCGAGAGGAAGCTTCGTAAGATGTGAATGGAATATTCGTAGAATGGAAATCATAATGTTGCACCTGAAGCCATATATTCACTCTCAGAGTAGTAGAAGCACAAACTGATCTTCTCACCCAACAAAGCAAACCGGGCAAATGTCAGTTCCAACTCATTCAGTCCCCGGGCAGGGGAGGTATGGATGGGCAGTCAAGACCTAATTCTGTATTTAGTGGTTGAACCGTTAGGAGCCAGGGCATTCTCATAGAGTCCTTATCTTGTAATTCAATTGGTGCAGCCCTCTGGGACTCCAGGGGGTTGCAGCTCCAGTTTCTCTGCTGGATGGGCCCCCAGCTCTGTGAAACACTCCCAGGGAAGGAGAGCCTATCAGTGGGGTCATTGTCAAAATGGCCTTGGTGAGCAAGGAGTTTCTCCTAATGCCTGGCCAACACCTACTGGGTCCAGGTTCTACCTCTGGATTCCAAGGTTTCTGGAGCAGCAAAGAACATGGGGATGCCTACAGGTGTCCCGCAACAGAGGCTGATTTTCCAGAGGAGGGGAGAGAGAGAGAGAGAGAGAGAGAGAGAGAGAGAGACATGAAGAAGACATGTATCATAGAATCATGGGAAGGGATCTGGGAGGTCTTCTAGTCCAACCACAGACTGTGCCAGGTGCAGGGATCTTGTCCTGCCCCATCTCCAATTTTTCTAACTTGTAATTCTTTGTGCGAAGAGAGGACTCTTTGGAAAAGACCCTGATGGAAGGCAAAAGGAGAAGAGGACGTCAGAGGATGAGATGGTTCGATAGCATCACTGAAGCAATGAGCATGAAATTGAGCAAG